TAGAAGCAAGCATTGACACATGACTCACCTGGTTTTGACCAGATGGGAACAGTCATATCTCCTACCCCAAAGATGAAAATATTTGGAAAAAAATGACCTCCTGCATAAGGGGAAGGGACTAGGAGTCAATAATTAGACATGTTCTTCAGCACTCTCTGCCCTAAGCAGTTCTGTTTTAATTCAGGGAAAGAAGTCTGTGCAGAGGCAAGGGCAGCCCAAAGTGCCCACCTTTTTGCAATTCTGATTCAGGTTGCTCAAGATTATCCTCCATCTCCCTAAAGGTCATAATAAGATATGACTTTGAACTGCAACGGAAAGAATGTTGGTTAGACCAACCAAAATAAAACTAAACTCACTGCCATCAAGTCGGATCTGACTCCTAGGAACCCCTCCTTGGGTTTCTGAGGCAGTATCACTATCGAAGTAGATTGCCCAACCTTCCTTCTGAGGAGTGGCTGGTGGGTTTGAACCGCCAGCCTTCTGGTTAGCAATCAAATGCCTTAGGCACTACCCCACCAGAGCTCCCAGAAAAGAATTTCCCAATAGTTGCCTTACAAGGGAGTCTTTTTTTCTTAATTTCTTCAGGTGTTAAGTCAAATCTATCTGCTCCTCATGGCTTAGGATGGTTTTGATTGGGTCTTTTACTCTAGTGAGGTCCCAGGGTGGTGGAAATGATTTGTGGTCAACTGGTAGAGTAATGGTTAAGGCATTTGGCTGCCAATCTAAAGGTCGGTGATTAAAACCCAGCAGTTGCTCCACCGATGAAAGATGGGGCAGTCTGCTTCTGTAAAGATTTGCAGCCTTGGAAACCCAATGGGGGTCACTAAGAGTTGGAGTTAACTCGATGGCAGTGAGTTTTGTCTTTAGTGAGTTTACTAGCCTAAAGGCTGACAGTTCAAACCTATCTAGCAGTGTGCCAGAAGAAAGGCCTGGCAATCTGCTTCCATAAAAATTACAGCCAAGAAAACCCTATGAAGCAGTTCTACTCTGTATACATTAGATCACCATGAGTCGGAATCTACTCCACAGCAATGGGTTAATTACACTAGCAGAGTTCCCATCACGGGGAGGGTAACATTCAACCAGGGACAGGGTCCCCCAGCTCCCCCTTACAGGCATCTGCACTGATTCAATGCCTTTCCTTTCAGGGCACCTGCGTGAGCTGTTTCCTGTTGCATGAGAGCATCTGTCCAGCTAACTCTGAGCCCACAGTGAGTGTGACAGCTTCATGAACCACAGATCATCCAAGCAACCCCACTAGGGCAATGTCATTGTGAATTGGGTGAAAATTTACAGAAAGTTGGCTTTCTGTTTAACAATTCATACCCATTTTGGTTCGTGACATTGACTGCAATCCTCACAGTGGAGCACCACTCTTCTCACTTCCTGCCCATGTTGACCATTTCCATTCATCCTTCCTTACCATCCCTTCCTGTCTTCTGAGCTTTTATCCTGGGCAAATGCTGCCCTTTTGATCTCATATGGTTGGTTGTTCTAAGGAGTGCTTACCTCCCTGATGTTACTGTTCACTTTATGGACCTGTCAATCATTTGTTTGAAAGCTGAGCCATGGAGGTGAGTTCAGTTCCCAGCTTAAAGGATATCTAAGGGCCATAGTCTCAGAGTTTCACCAGTCTCCATCAGACCAGTAAGTCTGATCTTTTTTTTTATGATTTTGAGTTTTGTACTACATTTTTCTCCCACTCTATCTGGGAACTGATATTGTGGTCTCTTTCAGAGCAGTTGGCAGTGATATCCAGGCTCCATCT